TCAGAGAAAGCCTTCACGCATGAAAATTATGCAGTAGAGGTCTTCTTCGATATCGAGGGGGCCTTCAGCAATGTCCCTCCAGAGGAAATAGTCAAGTATATTCATAATTTGGGGGTTGAAGCTAATCTAATAGGGCTTACCTACAGCTTACTTCATGACAGAACTGTCGCGGCGGAGTGGGGGAACGTCTGCACTCAGAGCAGAGTCAATAGGAGCACTCCAAAAGGTGGTGTTCTCTCTCCCCTGCTCTGGATTGCGGTTGTAAACGACCTTCTAGAGGAATTGGAAAAAGTGTGCTCTCGGGAGATCGCCTATGTAGATGTGGAAGTATTGGTTGAGGGTCGATTTCTGTACACCCTTTTTGATCTGCCTCAAGGTTACCGTAACTAGGTAACTAGGCGGGTGACAGGTAACAAGATCAACAGAAATAAGTTAAGTTGACACTATTTCGCATACTGGTGCGAAAGATATTTAATTGACATTATTACCTTTTCGAAATAAAATCCATTGATATTATTGCCACGCAGCTCCGCGCTCGAGCATTGTTAACGCTATTTCCATTTGAATGAGGAAATAGCATCGTTTACTTTATTTCCGAATTTTTGTTGACTTTATTTCGCTTTTGAAAAGGTAATAATGTCAATTTATTTTATTTCGCACCAGTTTGCGAAATAGTGTCACTTGACCTTATTTCCGCTGATATTGTTACCTGTATCAACTAAGTGGCCGATCAACGGCTGCAGTCGTGGAAGCCTAACATTGAGTAAAGGGTAGGAAAGGTATCGGCTGCCTTGTACTGCTATAGGGGAGCTATCTGTAAAAGGTGGGGTCTCGCCCAAATTAATTCATTAGGTTTAGGAAACCAGATTTAAGCCTATATTGTTTCAGGTAGCCCTGGTCTGGTAGAACTCACTAGAGAAAGCTACACTTGTAAAACAGGAATTATCGAAGCATTGTAGGTGTGGTTCTTACCTACACTGGCGCTTAACATACATATGTTGAACACTGCGCCTGCGGATATTGCAGAAAGAATTGTCGCAGCAAGAACTACTATTAGGGTAATGGAAACCGGGTCATCTGCAGCAGTACATGTTTTTATAGGGCACTTTAAAACACGCTACCTCTCAAGGGCTGTGATGGGGGTTCTAACAGGTCATTGTGCGATTGGTTTTCATGCGGTGAGACTAGGAATTTCAACTGATCCTTTTGTATCAGCTGTCAAGAGGAAGATGGAGTGGAATCATCTTCAAACTTTCTTTTAGACTGTCCAACCTTCGGGAGGCTAAGATGGAAGCATTTTGGCTGGCACTTCTAAACAAACACTGAGCTCTAAAAATTTCGTAATCGACTCGCGGCGGTAACTTAACGCAACCTAAGCTGTACTTCTTTGAGCTATGAAATAGTTAGTCACATTAAGCATAGCTTAGCAAGTGCTGTTGTGTTGTTCACAGTTCAAAAACTCTCACTCAAATAAAATCGGCCAACTGGTTGGTGCGTTTGTAGGGAATTTCGTTAAGTAGGTTGGTCAACTGGTTGGCCGATAAATCAATGCGTGTGTAGGGCCTTTTAAGCAAATGACATTTGACAAAACTTGATGTTAAGTACCAAGGCGAATTTATACAAGGTGGTGTTGATGGCGATACAAGATTGTGAAGATGGATGTCGGATACATCCGACATTTGCAGCCCCATGCAATTCTCAATGAAGAATTATTGCACCGCATTAAAAAAAAAAATAAATATAACTTAAAGACCCCTCAACTGGTGCAGCGTCAATCGAAAAGAATTTACAATTTTGTCAAGTTTCAGTTTGTCGCCTCGAGCGAGTAGTTATTTAGTGGCGCTGGTTTGATTTACGACCATTTAAAAACTTTTTATTGAGTACAATGTTCCAATTTTTTAATTCAAATACTAAAAAAACATTATTAAAAACTACTAACCTTTCCATTTTTATTTAACT